CGCGCGGTGGCGATGGGAGCACAGTAAATCTCGCCCGGTTAGCAGTGGCGGCAGGCAGGGCTCGGGTGCACCGAGCGGTGGCTCTTTCTGGCACCTCTCTGAGGACAAGCCCTGTGTTGCTGGCAAACATCGCCAGCATCATCCCACAAACAAGGCCATCCCCCCAAATCCTTCCAGCATTGCCCTGTGAACACTGCCAGCATTAATCCTGCAAACACCGCCAGCATTGCTCGGTGCCCCACTGACTGCAGGAGGCAGCCCCACTGCCTGGGGACGTTGACACTGGGGCTGAGCAGAGGGAAGAGCTCCATGGCTGAGGTCGCCCGGGGGAGCGTGGGAGACGCCGAGCAGGCAGATTTGGCCCCAGCCTCACCCAACAGGGACCAGGAGAGCAGCGTGAACCCAGCCTGCCCCTCTGCCCTGAGCAAACCCGGCACGCCGTGGAGCAGCAGGAGGGGGATGATCCGCAAGGCACTGCACCCCTGCTTTGTGACGTGGCTGAGCAGAGGGGATGAGCCCTGCACTCCGTGCTCCCAAAACCAGCTCTAGCCCACAAGGAAAAAATTTGCTCTGAGCAGCACAGACGCAGATGGAGAGATGCTGTTCCCAGCACGGCTGGACACACTGACTGCCTGGGAGCTCCGTAGCGCAGCGCAAGCTGGTTTGAATAAACCGCACGCGAGGAGATGTTTGTGAAGCGTCTCGCACATGGAAACGCCATTGTTCCTGCAGCGTGGGATCAGGATTCAGGGGTCCCCAGATGTAGCAACTGTTCCACGTCTGCGCTGTGTGCACACACATGCTCTTCCCCACTCACTCTGCCTGGAGCCATTCATTAACCCTCCTCAATGAAGATGCATTGGAGGGATAATTTACTGTTTAATAGACTAACTTTCCATTTGCTGTTGCCAAGCGCATCCAACATATTTCTCCATGGTGCCATAAACTGCAGCTCCTCTGCTGTAAAACCCTGCCTTCCAGTAGGAGCAGGTGGGTTTGCAGGATACAGCAGATGATCTTGGCCACGGGGTAAGTAGAGACACTGGGCCTTGTTTTTGGAGGAACAGAGCTCGTTCCCACCACCTTTTGCCTTACTGCAATCCCCCTTTGCACTGATGTCCCTGAGCTAGGAACCCAGGTAACGCGAGAGATGAGAAGCATCTCAGCCTGACGGATGAGGGAGGCAGAGGCTCTGTCCTGATTTTATTAATGAAAATACCCTGGGTGCAGATGAGCTTGTTGGTGCTCTATATATGACTAGCTGGTGGCCAGTCCCATGCTGGGATGTAATCAATAAACCACGTGCCCCGTTTGGGCTCATTGGGCCTCTGCAGTTGCAAGCTGCATTTCTGCATCTTGCTTGGCCCCATTGTGAGCATGTTGTGCTGTGTCCTTCCTCCAGCTCTCGCAGAGTTACAAGCAAGTTACAAGAAAGTCAGAGCCTGCAAGGCACGGGACAGGGGAGCTGGCAGCAGCCCCACTTGGCCTTGGTCACCCAAGTTCCTGTGCTGTAGAGGAGGCACTGCCAGGGTGCAGGTGCTGCATGAGGACCAGCAGCTCTGGATACAAAAGCCTGAGTGACACGTTACTAGGGTTTGGCTCCATAAAACAGCAAGAGGATGCCCAAAAATAACTCGGCAAGCAGGAAAGGGAATGGATTTAGCCTTATTGTTGCTACTCAGCCCCAGATGCGTGCAGGGACTAGAGAACCATGCTAGGGGCTACCCACAGAGCTGACTCTGTCCTTTGCAAAGGGGCATCTCCCCAGCTCCAGCCTCTACCCCTTCTCTGCAACCTCCAGCCTGAATGCTGCTCCCCTCCACACCTTCTCATTTGCTTTATTTAAAGCCCCAGCTTCCTCTTCGCCTGTCTCCCGGACACAGCCAAGGAGGAAGAGCCAGGCCTCTCCATCACAGCAGGGGCCCAGCCTGCCGCTAGGCCCCGG